CATTCACTGTGGGGTTTTTGGTTTTTGTGGTACTAGGGATTGAACTCAGCACTTTGAGCGTGCCAGGCAAGCGCTTCCTCTACTGAGCTATCTCACCTGCCCCATTCATTGCATATTTTGATCATCCTCATACACTGGGGATGGTATATATAAGCACTATGGCAGTGTTTTGTTAATTGCCCAGAATATTTCTGTGACTCAATTCTCATATTTTTAAGGAGAGGTGATTGATGCCGAGAACTTGGTCAACTTCCTCGCCAGTGAGGGGACAGGACTCTCAGAGGAAGAAGTAAAGGAGCTGATGCCTCATCTGACCTACAACGGTGAGAACGGGTCATGATTACGTTGCCTTCTCTTCTCTTTAGTGTATTTAGTGCAGGGTCTCACGACACGGATCAGCCTCGCAGTGATCTTCCTGTTTTCAGCCTCCCAGGGGCTGGCACATGTTGCCTTCGGAGAAGTCTGCCGGTGTGACCCTGTGCTGCCGATCCTCAGAAATGACCCTATTTTTGCATCATCTAGCACAACGCTTCCTGGACTTAAGTGTGCTATGAGTCACCAGGCGGCTTGTGGCGTACAGGCTCAGCTTGGGTCCCTGGGGCCTGTGTGCGTCTCATGGGCGCCCAGATGGTGCCAACGACAGAGACCACGCTCTGCCTGAAGTACATTAAAGATGAGGAGAAGCAAGGGTATGTTAGGATTATGATAAGGATTTCATTTTCTAAAACAAGTACAGGCAGGATGCCTGTGGTTGAGGGCGTGATTCCTGCCCCAAAAAGAAGGAAAGGGGGCTGGAGAGGTGGCTCAGTGGTCTAAAGCACCTACTTAGAACAAGCTTAGCAAAGCACAGGGACCGCGGTTCAATCCCCCAGCACCACATGCCAGTCAGCCCCGCCCCCTGGTGGGCTGAGCTGGCCACACACACACACACACACACACACACATACACACACACACACATAAATAAAATTTTTAAAAAAGAAGGAAAGATAGTAGAGTGATTAAAAATTGAAAATAAAAATAAGTGTTAGGAAGAGATACATGGAAAAGGCAAGAGGAGTGTGTGGTCAGCTGACTTTGCTTCTTCCCTGAGATTTTTACTGACTTGGCTCCAGGCCCTAGTGTTACATAACTACTTTTAAAATTTCTACTACTCTCTGTTCTTCCGATTTAAAAAAAAAAAAATTAATCATACTGGAGTGTGGCATTTTTTTTACCATAACATTTTAATGATGCTGCCAGGTAATTTCTATGCAGTTCTGGCCTTAAACCTCAGATATGTACCAGCTAAAGATGTCACTCACTCCCAGAGCACGTGCAAGGTGCTGGGCTCGGTCCCCGGGGAAGAAGAGAGCCCAGGCGGTGCCCTGTGCTCCTCGGGGCTCCTCCACTGCCCACATATGGCCCTCCAGACAGTGGGGAGGCGGGACGGCCACGGCCCCTTCACCTTGCTCCTCGCCTGCACCCTCAGCAAGCGTGATTTCCCCACCCCACCCGGAAGGCACCTCTACCCCCCATCTGCACCGACCCAGAAGGCGGGCACAGCGCCCTGCCTCACTGTCCCACCCCTTGATCCCTGCCACTCTCCGGCCCTTGGTCAAAGTCCACTCTTCCTTCTGCGAACTCTTTCAGGCTTTGTGGTACAACTCCTTAGAGACTCAGACGATGCTGCCTTGTTCTCTTCTTGTTATTTATAGAACAAGAAAGTCAGTTTCTAGATTTTTTCCTTCTTTGTGGCTCTGGAGACTAAGCCCAGGGCTCTGCGCATACTAGGCAGCGCTCCACCACCGAGCTACGCCCCAGTCTAGCAGCCAGTCTCTTGTCTCTGGGTTGTCTACCCACCCATCCCCGAAAAACTCCTCCCATGTTTCTTTTTTCAATGAGTGGACTTAAATCCAGTTGCATGAGGCAAAATCTTAAGCACAGTCTTTCCTTTCCCTTTCTCAGCCTCCCTCGTGTAGCCAGCCACCAGGTTCTCTGAATTTGTCCTCTTATGCAGCTCCACGCTGTCCACCGGTTTCTCTTCACATTTTCTGTGCCCTCGTACTGATCGATACCACCTTTTGCCTGGGCTGTTGAGGTAGGCTCTCAGCGAATCTTGCTACGGTTTCGGGCATGCTTGCTTGGGATCCCCTCACTACCCACACCCACCCAGGCTTGACCCCCTAACTACGGTCATCAAAACCCCAGAGCGACGTCCTACAGCCTAAGTGATCGCGCCACTCTCGCGGCTTCGAACAGCTCACAGACAGCCACCTGCGTGGAAGGCCTCTCCGGGTGTTAGCCCTGTACGCTGCAGCTCCTTCTCACCCGAAACAAGCCCGGGGTCAGCTGCACGGGCTGGCTTGAAAGTTCTGCAGGTGTCTTTGTCCTGACGCCACTGTATGTGCGGTCCCCTTGCTGGAAGTGACGCTCTTCTCCGGAAGAAGTCTCTACACGCTCCGGGTGACTTAAGGACCCTGACCACCCCTTATACGTGGCCACCCGGGCGTCGGTCTTACCCTTAGGGACTCTTGGGTAGGTTGGGGACATGGACATTCCTCTTGTTCATTGGTGGCTTGGGTTTTCTATTTTGAATCTTGAGTCTCTGCTTATCATTCCTTCTACTACGGTGTTGCAATTCTGTTTTCATAAAGGCCAGCTTTCTCCAGCTCAAGCCTGGGTGGATAGCTGGTTGTACCGAAACTGCTTTAAGCCGAGTGGAGCTCTTGATCCTACATATCTACACCACTTATTTTTTTTTAAAGCTTTTTCTTTTTATTTATTTATTTTTTGTGTGTGTGTGGCCAGCTCAGCCCACCAGGGGGCGGGGCTGGCTGGCATGTGGTGCTGGGGGATTGAACTGCGGTCCCTGTGCTTTGCTAAGCTTGTTCTAAGTAGGTGCTTTAGACCACTGAGCCATCTCTCCAGCCCTCTACACCACTTATAACTTAAGGAAATTTTCATCTGGCTTCTCTTCCCCAAGTCTGGCCTTGTGTCTTCTTGCTGGAGAAGAACAGCATACACTACATTCAGACTTCCGGAGACGGGGGAGAGAAAGAGATAAATATTGTCAGTGTCAAAACCGAAATGAGCAATATTTTGTAGAACTAAAAAATTATCTACACTGTGCCTGAAATTGTTCCTCCCCAACTTTGGCTTTTCCCAATAAGCCTGCTTTCTTCCCCACAGTTCTATTATCAAACATATTTATTTGATTTCCATTTCTTCAGAAATTATTTCTGCATCAGAATTCCTGGAGGCGCCACTCATGGCCGCGCCTGCTCTTTGTCCTCTCGGGCGGCCTCGTGGAGGAAGCCTGTGTCTACCTGCTTCGCGGCACTGTTTCGCCTTCCGCTAGCCCCCTTCTGGGTGCCCCTAAGGCCTGGCCGTGGTATTTTAAATCCCCAGTTTCTCCTGGCACACTGCTCAGGATGTAAATTACTGCAGTTACTATGGAAACAGTATGTGGAGTCCTCAAGCAGCTACGACCAGAGCTACCATGTGGCCCAGCAGGCCCACCCGGGTGCGACCGAAGGACATGAAATCAATAAGTCAAAGGGATACGTACTCTCCCGTGTTCACTGCATCGTAATTCCCAGTAGCCCAAATCCAAAATCAGTATTAAACATTCATTAATGGGCGAATGGATTTTTAAAAGTGATGCCTCTGAAAACAAAAAACCTTTTATGACTTTTTATATGACAGCCTCTGAATCCGAACCAACGTGTTTTACAGGAAAGGGAAGGATCGCTGTGGATTCCATAATGGAGGGTCTGAGGAAGATCACACGTGAGTGGAAATCTAGGATGCAGTACAGGACAATCTGGTGCTAAACGCTTGTGCTCTTGGCTGTAAGAGTAAGATGTTTCGTTATAGAAAGTCTCTATTTAGAATCTCAGTCTCTCACTTCATTCCTAAGTAATTTTGATTTGTTCTCTGCACCTGTATTTCCCAAGCGTGACCCAAACAATGCTACAGTTCTGATTCTATTTCTTTTTTTATAGTATCTATTTATTGTTTGTTTTGTTTTTGCAGTACCAGGGATTGAACTCAGGGCTCTGTGCTTGAGGCAGGCGCTTATCCTACTGAGCTGTCTCCCCAGCCCTGATTATATTTCAAAAAGGATTTAAGAATAAGTTAAGGTATTTTAAGCAAGTATGATTAAAATGAACCTTAATAAGAAAAGATGAATTCAAATTCTGGGAACTTACATTTAATGTTTCCGGGTGAAAAAATTACTTTAAAAATATAAGCAAAAAGTTTCCAAGTGAGTCTTACTATATTTTATTATTGGTGAAAAACAAAAAGTCTTGTTGATGGCTCCCTCGAGTCTGTTCTACTCCTGCCATTTCTGTTGCCGATATCAGCAAACTTTCATGATGTCAGCAGTAGCTGGGTATTTCAAACAACTATTTAAAATCATGCTGATACAGATATACAGCTGCATTCTCTTAATTCAATGAATAGAAAGATTTGTTCTTATAGTGTTTGTGGACAGGATATCATGTCTGCATCGTGTACAATGAATAACCACTAAGACAACGATATGCAACGTGTTCATTATTGAAACTGTCCTACTAATCAGGTTTGAGACTGTCTCATTGCTATTTGTTTCTCAATAAAATTATTAAAAAATAAAATAAAATCATACTGATGAATTTAGTGATAGTGAAGCAGTTCCCCATGTTTATGATCTCTGTATCAACAAGTAACTTTTAAAAATATTTTTATTGAGAAACAGATAGCAATGAGACAGTTTCACAACCGATTACTAGTGTATTTTCAATAATTAATACATTGCTTATTGTTGCTTAGTAGTAATTCCTTGTACAAAATGCAGACCTGATATCCTGTCTCAAACACTATGAGAACAAACCTATCAACAAGTAACTATTAAACACCTAGGTACTGTTTAAGAAAGACAGAAAAAGTAAACAAACCACTTAGTTCTATGCTGGATGTAGGCAGTGGCGGGGACACACACACACACACACCCACACACACACACCACATCTGCTCATGGGCGGGACTTAATCCCAGCTTTGTCCAGCCCGACTGCTCCAAAATCCATGGTGGCCCTGCTTCTCATCACAGCGAACAAGCGCCCCATCCTGCCAGCTGAATTCGGGGCCTGTTGGTCCAGCCTGTACCCGCGCCATAGCCATCGCACGGAGCTGTCTCCCGTTCGGTTAGCCTAGAAACCCTACAGTGTAGCTGTTCTGTGTTCTTTAGGTTAGTCTTAAACAATTAACCCTTTCCCCAAACGGCTGCTGAGATACTTTCAGAGCAAAACCCCACATAGTTTTCACAATCTCTCCACACACACACGCACGCACGCACACCCCGCTCCTAGCCTGGGCCACTGCTTCTCCCTGGAGCTGCTGGCCCAGGGCGGCTGACTTGGTGTGAACGACGTCGTCGGGCGCCAGGAACGAGGCCGAGCACTCCGGACTGCGTGCGGCATTATCTCCCTGTTGTGCTCAATTTCGCGAGCTTCTCTGCAGTGTCCAGTTTTTCCTGTCGGCTCCTTCCCAATTCACAAAAGCCCCCTTTTTATCCTTCATCAAGCTGTTGTTTTCAGGTATCTTGGTTCCCTGGCCCTGAGAGGCTAGATCCTGCTTCCATCTTACTCTGCCATTTTTTTCTTTTTCTATATTTGGTACAGGTCCCACTGCACAGCTCAGATTCCAGCGATCCCCCTATTTGCAGCCTCCCCAG